GAACCCGCTACTGAACATAGAAGATCAAATAGGTAGATGGAGAGAATACGTGGAAGAGATGTTTCAAGACCGAGAGAGAACGAACATTTACATGCAGGAGGCATCGACTGGACCTTATATCACAAAGCAAGAAATTATCAAAGCGGCAAATCAGTTAAAGAACGGAAAAGCTGTTTAAAAGCTGGGGAAGATAATATCCCAATTGAAATAATAAAGATATTACTAGACGAACACATCGAAGTAATGGAAGATATATTTAACAAAATATACGAAACAGGCATAATACCAAATGATTGGCTGACATCGGTGTTTATACCACTAACAAAGAAGAGAAACTCCAAGAAATGTGAAGACCATAGGATTATTAGCCTGATGAATCATGTGTTGAAGCTTTTCCTACGAGTAATACACAATCAACTAGACGAACACACTGGTCAAACTAAGTTTGGTTTTAAGAATGGGTTCGGAACAAGAGAAGCACTTTTTTCAATACGTGTGCTAGTTGAAAGATGTAGAGATGTCGATTCTGATGTATACTTGTGTTTTATAGACTTTCAGAAGGCGTTTGACCTGGTGAAACATGATAAACTAATAGATGTTTTAAGGTCATGTAATATCGACGATAAAGACTTAAGGATCATTTCAAACCTCTACCAAGAACAAAAGGCTAAAATCAGAATAAAAAGCCAAACATCTGGAAAAATCAATATCGAGAAGGGAGTAAGACAGGGATGTGTCCTATCACCTTTGCTGTTCAATGTTTATTCTGAGAAGATATTTCAGAAAGCTTTGGAAGGCACCACGGATGGTATAATTATAAACGGGCAATGTATAAATAACCTGCGATATGCTGATGACACCATCATACTGGCAGATAATGCTGAAGATCTGCAACGCTTAATGGACCGAGTAACGACAGCCTGTAGAGAATTTGGAATGAAATTGAATACAAAGAAGACAAAAACGATGGTCATCAGCAAGCACCAAAACAGAAGGGTGAAGGTCAATGTCGACGGAACAGATCTGGAAAGAGTAACAAGAACAACGTACCTTGGAAGTAATCTTGATGAAACTTGGGACCACTCACTAGAGATAAGAATACGCCTGGAAAAGGCACGTACAATGTTTTACAAAATGCAAAAAGTTCTATGCAACCGCCAGCTGGGCATCTCATTGAGAACTAGAATACTTAAGTGCTATGTTTTCTCCACCTTGCTCTATGGTGTTGAAGCGTGGACAATGACAGAAGCAACACAAAAAAGAATCCAAGGATTCGAACTCTGGTGTTACCGTAAAATGATCAGAATATCCTACATGAGCCATACGACAAATGCGGAAGTCTTGCGGAGGATGAATAAGGAAAGAGAGCTTATGCTTATAATAAAAGAACGGAAAACACAATATTTTGGTCACATGATAAGAAATCAAAAGTATGAACTGCTCCAACTTATAATCGAAGGCAAAGTCAATAGCAAAAGAGGGCCAGGAAGAAGACGCAACCCTTGGCTTAAAAACCTATGGCAATGGACGAACGTGACCTCCATAGAACTATTCAGGGCTGCTACAAATAAGATTAAATGGGCAAATGTAATGGCCAACGTCCTTAAGGATAAGGCATCGTAAGAAGAAGATTATCGGATATTTCGGTTTCTTCACGTATCCGTCTCAATTGCTCCCATATTTTCATGGTGTGACTAAGTAGTTTTATGGCCCTGTTGTTGTACATGTCCCTTGTTTTTGTGGACAGGTACAGGAACACTGCTTCTCCATTCGTCTGGCATCTGTCCAACTTCCATAATTCTATGAAATAGTTAACCTGTTAACCAACTTGCTCTTGTCTCCCCTAATGCTCTCCACAATTCTCTAAGAATATCATCTGGTCCAACTGCTTATTCTTTCTTTATTTTTTGAAGTGCTTGAACCACTTGCTATTTGTTATTTCGGTCACCATTGTTGTTACTGCCTCAGTTAACTCAACTTACGTTAAATCAAAAAACATTAATCATATTGTTAAAAGTACCATAACTTTGTCCTAAACTCCTCATGAAGTATTTGATTTCATCAAGAAAGCATCATATGAGCATAAGAGATGACACTGGAACAATATAGCAACCATTTTTCATGGTCAAAACCAAATAAAATTCCTCTTTTAATGTTTATGGTCAAATTGGTACAGGATCACATATTTATTAATATTATTTAAAAAGAGGTAGAATAGTTCTAATTCTTAAGACCAAAGAGGCTAACAGAGCTCTGGATATTTCGACTCAAAAATTAATACGATTTAGTACTCGTCATCAAGGACATGATCTTGAGTTCACACAGAGAATTTTACCGATTGGACGAAGATGTAGCAGAATTAATGGAAGTTGGTAGAATAGGAGGATTTTAACAGGTAGGTAACTGTAGGTAATAGAGGAGAAGTACATTGATTTATAGGAAAATTACTTCAGGATATTACAGCAAGGGGTGTGTATATTTGTATGTATAATTTATAAGATTAATTCAATAAAATACAGAAGTTTGTTAAACTTCGAGACATAACGTAATATTTTTTAATTCATTTTCATATAAAAATGTTCACCCTGTATATTGTTTTTGAAAACTCTAATAAGATTCTTACAAAGAAGTGTTGTATGTGTGTACGTAGCTCAAGTTGGCCTGGGTGAGAATATATGAAAAGTTTTCTATGAATTATTACACATAGATATTCTGTAAGAGGAGAAAAGAATGCATTGAGGATTAGGCTTTAGAACTAAAAGATATGCTGGAGATGATATGTTGGAATTATCAATAGCATTAGATAAGGCTCTTTTTAACTCATTCTTTCGAAAGAGTGAAGTCAACCTATCACCTACAAAGAGAATAAAATTATTTGGAAATAGTTTATACTATCAGAAAAAAGAATATATATGTAAATATAACGACCGCAAGGTAATAGGTAGTGAGACCATAGGTCGCGGCATATTATTATGCACGTATAGTTTCCGGCACGTAGCGTTTCCAGTCCAGCAATCGGACTGCGCGTTCACATTTTCATACATAGAAAGTTTCGGTATGGTGAGGTGAAATGTGTTCTCGGTTTTCCAAATATTTTCTTTTTATTATTATTATTTTAACTTGTACTATTAAACTGTAAATATCAAACCATAGAGTATTAAAAAAAAGAAGAGGTATCACTTCCGTGCAAAAGTCCTAATTGTTTATCACTTCCGTGTTGAATTGTCACAAAGCAATAAAAACACATGCATAAATGACAAAATAGACTCGAAAATTATTTTTTTAAATACTCTGTATCAAAATCAAACAAATACCTAAATACAACGAGGGGAAAACGACAAACTCCTAATTCACATTATCCGTACCAACAGGTTCCGACTCGTTCCGTAGCCGTCGGCATCCTTAAAATATTGTTTTCGAATAAACTGAATACGTATCGAATAAACTGAATAGGTATCTGATACGATACGTTACTGACAGTGTGAATTGCTCATATTTAAAACATTCTTCTTCTTAACGTGCCCTATCAAGTCCCCTTGACGTTGGCGATTAACATGGCGAAACTGTCTCTGTCTCGAGCTATTCTAAAGAGTTGCTCAGCTTTCTTTATTCCTGTCCACTCCCTGATATTCTTCAACCAAGAGGCATGCTTTCTACCAATTCCTCTGCGTCCTTCGATTTTACCCATCATAATAAGTTGAATAATATTATATCGGTCTCCCCTTACTACGTGTCCAAAATAGGCCATCTTAAAACCATTTAAATTATATTTTTCGGTAACTAAACGCTACGGGCTGGAACCGCAACGTGCATAATAATATACCACGACCTTATGAGTTAACAACATGAGGTCCTGGAAGTACGAAGCACAACGAAACCAAAATGTCGGAGGGGACTACAAAAAATAAAGTGTGGTGGATGTTAAAAGATGAGAAAAAAAGATCTATTAGGGGAAATAATAGAAAAAATAAGCTGGAATAGAAAAGGAAATCCAAGTACAATTTGGAGCAATATGGCTAGTATTTTTAGAGATACTGCAATTAAAATACTTGGAGAACACTCAAAAAGAAGCTTAAGAAAAAAGGGACCTAGTGACAGTCAAACGCAGTTCAAGAAAAAATAAAGAAGGGAACACTATTTAAACATTGTCTACAAAATAGGTCAAAAACAGATCTTCAAAACTACAGCTCACCAAAAAGGAAGTGAAAGTAGCAGTAAAAACAGCTAAAGCAGATTTTACAAATATATATCATTAACTTGGTACCAGGAAGTGTCAAGAATAGATATATAGGAATATAGATCAAATAGCCAAACATAGAGGAAAGAAAGCAAACGATTTTAATGCCTGGACAATAACCAGTAGAACCAATGGAAATAGTAAAAGCAATGGTCACCAAAATACCAAATGTGAAGTGTAGACTTTTAGAGGAACTAGTTGGCTAACACGTTTATTTAATAGAATTATGGAAGTGGGGCAAATGCCAGACGAATTAGGAAGACTATATTAGTAAATGTTTACAGAAATAAAGATATATAACAATTCACAAACTACAATATTAAATTACTTATTCATCCCAAAATGTCCATGAAAATTCTTTAAAAATTCTATAAGGATCAGATATTATGCAAGGATCTAAATTTTGGACAGTTAAAAAGAAACGGAAATAACGAATGCATGTGGCAGATATATGGGATATATAGGGAAACAAAAATTGATGCGAAAATGAGAGAGCATATTATATTACTCCCACAAATCAATAGAAGTGAAACTGGCTTGGGCATCTTTTAGTAAAAATGTAGTTATATTCAGATCGAGGATGCCACTCGCATTTAAGATGGGACTATGACATGGAAACAAGCCGGTACAACATGGCACAGAAAAGCGAATATTAGACAATCGTGGGCAGAATTGAAGAACGACTATGTAAGAGAGGCTGCACCATAATCGGTAGAATACGCTGAGAATGATGATGATAATGATGATATACACACACACACACACATATATATATATATATATATATATATATATATATATATATATATATTCTCTATTTACTAACTAATTGAAAACGAGATCTTGCTTTAATCCGCTGTCGTTAGCTCCTGTTTGTTTTCTTTTTTTGAGATCTTCGGCTATGTATTTAAACCTCTGCATGCATTCATCCTTAAAAATAAAATTGAATATTAGTGTTGCACTATACAAGTAAAAGTAAAACGAAAATAGCATATCTTATTAAGTTCGTTAAAATAATTAGGCAATATCATCTCGGATTAATTAAATACGGATCAGAACTGAAATTCTCTTGTTACACATTTTTGCAGACCTGCTGTTAACTCAATAATCTTGGTAGATTATTACTCGTAATTTCTTTCAGAATCGGTAATCAGATCTTGCTGCATTTTATTAATGAATTTACTACGAAATTTGTTTCATTTAGTTAGATGATGGTCGCTTCCTAATTTCTAACTGCAGTAAAGATAATTCATAATGTCGTGGACCTGACGTAATTATTTAGTGACGTCGATGTATGGATGAAACAATAATATCAGGCCTTGCTAAAAACATGCAGTTCTCTTCAGTGCGTTATCTTAGCAAGACAGAGACGAACTAGTTTTTTGCGTTAGTGAAATAGCTTTAATATTTTTATTTTTTTGTGAACAATCGTTTTTAATATTTTATAATGAGGTACTATTTATGTTCAGTGCGTTTCAAGTCGTTTTTAACATTTTACAGTGAGATCCTCAAAATGTAAGTTAAATTATGTTTATTTTAATATTTTTTGCAATTAACTTATACGTCTTGTACACTTTTGTACCCTTTGGGGAGCACGGAAGGAGCCTCTACGCAAGTGATATTATAAGAACAAAATGTCACTGGCGCTCCCTGAAAACTGGGAGTGGGAGTGGGAGTGGGTGTATTACTTGTAATAAACAGGAAATTTTGTCTGAACTGTGTAAAATCCACAAGTGTGATATATTATGTATACGAGAGACTCACCATGACATATCAACACATAGACCTAGCATTGAGGGAATGCAGCTTATCATTGAACATCTAAGTGCAAAACATGGAAGTGCCATCTTCGTGAGAAGAGATATTGATGTAACATCAGCTGAAAAAACATGCATAACGATATTGAAATTCTGACCGTCGAAATAGGAGCCTGCACAGTGACATCTGTGTATAAACCACCTTGGAGAGACTTTGTTTTCTCCCGTCCAAAAAATTTCGCTTCTCAAAAAAACAGATTCAATCTCGGTGATTTTAATAGTCATAATGTTCATTGGGGCTACACTTCAACTGATAAAAATGGAGATCTTGTGGAATCGTGGGCTGAATAAAACAACCTGGCACTTCTACATGACCCAAAACTGCCCTATTCGTTCCAAAGCAAAATATGGAAGAAAGGTTACAACCCTGATCTCACCTTCATCAGCATGTCTTTAGAAGACCGTTGTGATAGGAAGGTATTTAAGCCTATACCCAAGACGCATTATAGGCCCGTGGGAATAACCGTATATAGCGCTATAAAAGCTCCCTATAAGAAATTGGAAACACAAGTGAAAAATGCCCGTTCCCCAAAAACTATGATGCATTCATCAAACTTGTAAAACGAATCTCATGTAAACACATACCCAGAGGATGTCAACAACATTACATATCTGGTCTGAACGATGAAGCAAAAGACAATATGACAAAGTACACCGAAGAATATAGTAAAGACCCATTTAGCGAAGTTATGGCAGAGATAGGGGAGAGACTGCAGCAAATACTAAGTGCCTCCAGACAACAACGGTGGAACGAGACTTTAAGTCAAATGGATATGACGCACAGTAGTAAGCAGGCTTGGAATATGATCAAAAAACTTAATGGTGATCCCACAGAGATGAAAGAGCTTTGTACAATAACGCCAAATCAGATAGCCCACCAACTGCTTCTGAATGGCAAAACAAACAATCGTTGCAAAACGCCAAAGATTATAAGAACTCAAGACCAGGCAACAACTCTCTTGTGAAACCCATTTACAATTGAAGAGCTCAAAAATGGTATTGACTGTATGAAAAATTGAAAATCACCTGGTGTGGACAAAATACTAACAGAGCAGATAAAACACCTCGGGCAAAAAGCGAGACAATATGTGCTCGATCTATTTAACATCTGTCGCTCTATCTACCAGATTCCAAACCTGTGGCGTAAATCAAAAGTAGTAGCCCTTCTGAAACCTGGGAAAGACCCTGAACTACCGAGTAGCTACCGTCCGACATCTCTAGTATGCCATTTGTATAAATGCCTCATTTTGAACCGCATCTAGGAAACATTAGATGCAAAACTAATCACACAACAAGCAGGCTTCGGACCAGGTAAATCATGCACAGGTCAAGTGCTGAACCTAACAGAATACATAGAGGAGGGATTTGAGCAGAAAGAGATAGTGGGAGTAGCCTTGATAGACCTCACAGCGGCCTATGATAGGATAAACCACAGAACCTTGCTAACTAAGATCTATAACATTGTGCTTGACTATGACCTGGTAAATTAATATCATTAGATCACTGTTGTGTAATAGACGCTTCTACGTTGTGCTAAATGGAAAGAAGAGCAGATGGAGAACCCAAAAAAATGACCTACCTCAAGGAAGCGTCCTGGCGCCATCCTTAAAAACACTCACACAAGTAGAGTCGACAATGGAAGAGGCTTTAAGCATAATGTCAACTTACTACGAACAAAACTCATTAAAGCCAAACCCTACTAAAACTCAAGTATGTGCATTCCATCTCAACAACCAACTGACGCATGTAAAACTGAATGTTTCTTGGGAGGGACAACGCTTGAAATATACTGATAGGCCCAAATATCTTGGAGTGATACTAGACCGGTCACTAACGTATAAATTCCACTGTCAGATCACAAGACAAAAGGTTTCTACGAGAACCAACCTTCTCCGGAAACTTGTAGGGAGCAAGTGGGGTGCAAACCCCAGGTCTTGAAGTCAACAGCTGAGGCCTTGTTTCTCAACAGGGGAATATGCTTGTCCCGTCTGGGGTAGATCTAGACACGCCCAACAAGTCACCACGGCTTTAAATGAAACCTGTAGAATAATTACCGGTTGTATGAAACCTACCCCTCTACCCCTACTGTACCGGGTAGCTAGATTCGCACAACCAGACGACCGTAGATGCGCCTCACAATATGTGGAGAAGTTCAGGCAAACTTTCGATGAAAGGCACCAATTATACGGGTTTGACGAACCGCCAGGAATCAGCCGGCTTTCAAAGAAAAGGTTTATGAGAAATGTCAGCGTCGAACCACCCGAACTGTTCCCCCTATATCAAGAACGACCTAATGGAATGAACCTGGACTGGAGAACCTGGCGGACACTCAACCGCATACGCAAAGGTGTTGCAATGTAAAACAGAACTTCATTAAATGGGGCATCAAGACAGATAGCGACGCACTTTGTGAATGTGGGGAAATACAGAACGTGGAGCACCTGAGAGTATGCAGACTTTGTCCATCACAGAGCACCGTCGATGATTTATGGCTCGCAAATACAAAGGGTGTAGACGTAGCCCGATATTGGGCAGAAAAACTGTAGTCGGATCCAGACACGAAAAGTGAGTTTGTGCACTTATGACAAATTAATGAATTAAAAAAATTTACGATTTACAAAGGATTTTTAATAAATTTTTTTAAAAAATTTACTTTTAAAAGTGTGTAAAATCTGATAACTTTATTGTATATTTTAATATTTTTTGCAAGAGATTGATATGTTTTGTAAACGCTTATGATAAATTAATGAATTAAAATGAAATGTTCTTTAAAAATGTGTAAAGCATTTAGTTCGTAGAGTGTATAAAACCAAAGGATCTCAGCTAGAAATTAAATGCTTTACACACTTTTAAAGTACTTTTCTTTTCAATTAATTTTTTTTTGTAAATGTTTTTCTTAGAGCGATTCTTAGAGCAATAGAGAGCAATTTGCTGTAGTTATAGCCAACCTTCAGTAATGGAGAAGGCACCTTAAGAAGAAGAAATGTTTTTCTTAAACAGAACTAATATTTAACATTTTATCTATTATCTAAAACCTAGCGGTTTTACAGGGAAAGTAACAATGGAAAAGTGGTCCATGTACAAGGGAGGCAAATTATATTTAACGTTTATTTATTTATGAAACGGAAAAAAGATTTGAGATATTGCACAACTCCTTTACCCCTAATAGAGCGAGTGGTTCAAGCAACTGAACCTCAGAAAGTACAATGAAGAGGATAATTAAGGAAGGTAAAAACAAACCAACAACTTCACAATTTGTATCACCCAGAACAAGTATTTGCAAGCCCAGCCCAAGTCATCAGTCAATTCATTTGAGAAACACGTCATAAGAAATACCATTTACTTTTGCTACTATACACAATAGTTTACTATACACAATAGTAGTTAGCTACTATACACAAAAGAACACATACCATGAAAACTGTTTACGAATCTATTAGAAACGAAAGAATTGTAACTGGTAAAATATCTTCTTAAAAAAAAATGTGAAAAAATTAGGATTTAGGTGGAGAAAAGTGGAAGGCAATAGGAAAATTTTAATCAAAAAAACTGACATAAGAGCCAAACGAACAGAATTTCTAAGAAAACTCAAAAAGTACAAATCTGAAAGTAAGATATTTATTTATTTACATTATAACTAATTTTAAAGTAATTCACAATTGTTTGTACTTAGAATATTATATATAGTGATGAAACTTATATACATAGTTCCCACACAGTTCCAAAAGGTTGGGATGATGGATGAACCAAGTGCATAACATCTCCGGTATCTAAAGAGCAACGACTGATCATCTTACATTGTGGTGGTAAACATGGATTTGTCGAAAATGCTGCTCTCATTTCCAAATCCGGACAAAAAACTGGTGATTATCATGATGACATGAATCACCAGAATATATGAAGTGGTTGAAAGACAAACTTCTTCCCAATTTACCTTCCAATTCAGTTTTAGTAATAGACAACGCCTCATATCAAAATGTGACTATTGAAAAATGTCCTACATCGGCTTCGAAAAAAGACATCATGAAAAAATGATTGACAGAAAGAAATATATTTTTCGATGAATGAGAAACAAAACCGGAGCTCTACAGTAAGGTACTGTACCTAAACCTACTAAACCTAAAAACCCAGTATATGCTGTAGACCAATTATTAGCACAGCACGGCCACTCTGTTTTACGTTTACCACCATATTTACACCACTTTTAAATTAGCAGATGCTTTAGAACTAGCAAAAATCAGGCTAAATGAAATCACGCTAAGAAATATGGGCAAATATTTGCAGGCATGTTGATAAAGTAGAAGGGTACTTCAGCCGAGAATACATTTTCGATGAAGTACATGAGATCATTATAAATTTAGATAAAGATAGGTAATCATCTGCAACAAAACTGTCTGATAGCGACGACGACGACGTCTACAACAACGACCTATAAATACAAACTAGTCAAGGTAACAAGCTCGGTATTCCGTCCCTCCATGTATATTTTTTAGTTATTTTAACATTTTATTAATTACTTCATTTCTTATTTAGTTTTAACTAACGTGTATGTGTGTCTTATCATACGTAACCTAATATTCCGTCTCCATGTAGATGCCGCATTAATATTCTTAAATACTTAAGACACTATTCCGGTTGCACAGTCACATAATATCAGTACTATCTAGAGAGTGTCATATAACCCTATAAAAGTAAATAGTTTATCACAGTTCAGTCCAGCGCGCTAAAGAAAGAAGAAGAAAGATGGAACGTTCATTATTGAAGGTAGTGTACATTTAATTTAAATACACAGACAATTTGATTAATTGATAACTTTGCATTTAACTTATTTCGCCTTAAAACATAATACCAATAGAAGTGGTGTTCTAATTTATTTAAACAATAATTGCTTTTAAACAAATTCTATAAATCAATTTCATCTGCCCGGACAAATTTATTGTCGGTCTTTTGGATCATTCTGAATAAAAAAGGTTTATTGTAATTTTTCTCTAAAGTAACATTGTTTTTAGTCGTTTGAGGCCTTATCCCAATCTAAAAATGGATTTATACAAAACTGTTTAATAAATTAGGACCACTTTTTGTATGGGCGACCTCTTGAACATTATTCTGCTGTCTTTTATTTCTAAGTGATTATACAAAAAATCTCATGCGAATATCTTTCCCAAGGAATTCGAGGTTTTCGTCTCGTATATAAACATATTTTGCTGAATTTAAAGCCAAAATCCTATTATTTTTCTATCGTGCATTAATTTGTTATTTATTTATTTGTCCTCTAGATTTTTTCAGTTCTTAAAAGATTTATTTACAAGCCAAATTAGTGCAATGTAAATATTTTACATTTTTACACAGCAATTCTTATCGGCAGTGAAAACCAGAAGTCGTAAATTTTTATTACACCTTTCAATGTGAGATAAAATAAAATGCGACGACTAAGTGGAATGTTTAAGATTAGAGAAATATAATATGTCACGTTTATTGGAAATACTCGACGGGAAATATCATTAGCACGTACAAATCCTACCCTGTCGCCCAATTTCCTATGAAATTAAAATGGTGCATATTTTTAGGATCCATTTATTTTTTCAGGCATGCGTATTTACGAGGTCCACGAGGTTTTGAAACATTTCTACTTTGATATTTTCTCTATGTTATTAGGTTTAGTTTTTGATGAAATGGGCCCAGTGTGCTGGTATTTTTAAATGTTGTGATATTCGATTCTGTTACCAAAGCTCTGTCAAAAGGCTTCAATTTTTCTGTCACTCCTCTTTCCATGCCAACAGAGAAAATTATTTGTCAAACTGAAGAAGCTATTTCTCATCTTCCTTCCGACCAAGCCGAAATTGCCAGACAAGATGTTGCCAGAATTCTCCGTACTTCCAAACCTCAACCGTCAAATATCAGTCTTCCAGAAAGACATGCCCTCAAAGAACTTTATAACAACCCTGACATTGTCATCCTTCCGGCCGACAAAGGTAATGCCACCGTCATTCTCAACTCTTCTAATTATTTCGACAAAATATTTGAACTTCTCAATTCCACAGAATACAAACGCGTCCCAAACGATCCCACGACATATCTAGAAAAAAACTACCAAATCCATTATAAATAAGTCTACTCTACCTCCAAAGGTCAAAAATCTCTTATACCCAGAGAAAAGTCATCTCGAATTCCAAAGATATACGGCCTTCCAAAAATCCATAAGCCCAATGTTCCTCTAAAGCCCATCGTCAGTGCATACAACTGCCCCACTCAGAAATTGGCAAAATATCTCGCTTTATCCTTACAATCATTAGCTGAAAAAGCTTCGTCTTTTGTCAAAAACTCTTTTCATTTTATTGATCTTCTGAAAAATATTTCTATCTCACCCTCAGATATACTAGTTAGTTTTGACATTGTTTCTTTGTTCACCAAGATTCCATCGATGAAACCATTCTCTCTAAATTCTCAACGCGGTTCTTCCTGAGAACCTAGTGATTTTCATATATATATATATATATATATATATATATATATATATATATATATATATATATATATATATACATATATATATATATATATATATATATATATATATATATATATATATATATAAATATATATATATATATAAATATATATATATATATATAAATATATATATATATATATAAATATATATATATATATATATATATATATATATATATATACATATATCATATATACATATGTAATAAAGAAACACAAAAAGCTATGACTTATATGACTAAATACTGATAAGTCAAATAGATTATCAAACAACCAAGCGATGATCAAGCAGAAAATTAATACTGATAAAGACGAAAACAAAAGGAAAACTCACACGAAAAATTAATGATAAAAATATTTTCGAAATTGGGAATATGGAATGTCAGAAGTATAAATGTACAAGAAAAGAAAATATCGATAGACTGAAAATGAAGAAAGATGAAAGAAAGAATTGGGTTAATGCATTCTGTATGTGTAGACCTGGTGTTCTAAATCAAATGTTCAAGTTTTTAAACTGTATGTGAAAATCATGGTTTTGTTTTTAATAACTCTTAGTTCTTGTATATGTAGTACTGGAGTCACAAAATCTTTTTGTCAAATGTCAGAAGCGAAAATGTTATTATAATGTAAAACGGCATATTATTATCTATTATATTTTATGGGAATTTTACACAATAGTGATGTTAATTGAATAATTTCAGAACCATATAAGCGACATATTATTGATTAATTTACTGTTATTATAAACAAATAACATCTATAGAGTGGGGTACTAAAGCTATTTTCTTGTAGCATTTTACTTTTGTTAAATTAATATAAACTGGGAACTAATACAATTGTACAAATGGAAAGTTTTTGAAAAGTCTTCCAAAGTGGAGCATGAACTGTTAAGTAAAGTATAATAGACATTTTACAACTATAGTTAATTCGCAGTCTACAGTAATTATAGAATAAAATTAGTAATTAGAGTAGTATGTGGGTATAACTTATAAATACAAATATAATTGTATGAATACAATATCTGCTAAAATATACTTACTTTTGTCTTATTGGGAACATGATTTGAAATTTTATCCCATCTTTCAATGCACCCTTTAGGAAAAATGATTAGAGCTTCTTCCAATCTTCTTTGCTGTATCTGGTTCCAATTATTTGTATCTGAATCTACTTCTATCAACTTTCTTGTTTTCTGTTTTATTTTTTCTGGAACAGTGTTTTCCTTTTCATCTAATAATCTGTATCCATTCTCTTTCATTTTATTTGCCATGTATGTCACCTCTGAGACAGACCTATTTAGAGATTGTGCTATCTTTTCCCATCGTTCTGGGGTGCCGGGAGAATATTTGTTAACCATTTTTATTAAATCCAATAAGTCTTCATCTGTCCAAAATCCTCCGGATATTAAATGGGTAGACGTATCATTAGCAGTTGGGCCCTCATGATTTACTGCAAAGTTTGGGCCTTCTGGTACAACGAATTTATTTCTTTTTCTAACTGTTTTTGATTTCAATATTGGGTTGGGTACTGACACAGCTTCATTACTTTTATAAAAACTTCCAACTTTAATTTTAAATAAACCTGAAAGTATTTTTAATGTGGCAGGAATTGACATAATTATTAGCCAAATTAATTTTGGAATCTGAATGGGTAAAGTATCAAATACCGACGGTTTCTGAATAATATATTTTTCGTCATCCATTTTAAATTTCGATTTTAATTTCCTATTCCTATTTATTTGATCCTCCTAAAACAAAATGAGTAAACGATACAATGATATAATGAAGTATTTAAGAGTTCTCGTATTTTATTAGTTGCAGACTCAAAGAGCAAAAAAAACCATCAGCATTTATTTCAGTTAAGTTTAATAATCATTCTAAATTATATTTTATAATCAAGTATTGCTTGATTATCTAAACATGCTTAATAGTCAAGAGATTTGTAGCGTCGATGCTTAATAAACATCCAGCACACAAATTAAATTCAAGGCCAGAATCGCTCAATGTCGGAGAGAAATGGCGGGGTACGGTCAAATGTATAGAAATTACGTAATATCTCAAAAATCCAAACAAAATCAAATAATCTGAAATTATAATTTATTATTGGACGCCACCCCCTGTTTATCCTCGTAGGGGACGAGAGAGAATAAAAAATAAGATATATAGAAAGTTTACAGCGAAATTACACTTTATTATTTCTCAGTAATAAAAAGAAACATTAAAAGTTATATTATTTCCAAAGGATACTAAAATACCATTTCATAATTACATTACTATAAACAAAACAACTTTATATCGTATTAAATCAAGAATTGGTTGTTAAAAACAAATGAATTTATATATTATTTCCAAATTTCGAAATTCGTTTACATTTAAAATATTATAGTAGTTATTTATTAACTAGGCATAATAGAAAAGTTAAATCTTTAAACAAGATTAAAACACTGCTATATTTTATTTCTCTGAGTTCATAATTATTTCTCGCTTTCTCGATAGGATATAATAAAAAAGAATGGTACAACCTTAATCATCCAATAGCTGGCAACCATACAAAAAGGATATCTCTCTGTTTCCTCTCACCTTTCAAGCATTTCATCAAATTATTTATTAGGGGTCCATGTAGATCATAATGAAATATTGGGCTGCGTTTTACGACAGCATATGACTTCTCAGTTAACTTCGAGCCAAATAAACATAATCAATGATCTTTTATCCTCCCCGGTAAAAGGTCTCTACATAGAGACCACTTAACAAAACATGTGCTAACAGTTGGATGTTTGTAAGAGAAAAGAGACAGACGCTATAATTTACCGGTTTGAATTGGGGCGTGATTGACAAGTTAATAATCGTTCTCATCTACCGGATAGGTTTAGAATTACAGTAGAAACCTTGAGTCGGCTACAAGTACCCGGCAAATAGATGGGGTTAGCAGTTTTATTTAAAAAAAATAATCGAATTTATAATGAATTTCCTAAAACTTTTGAAACGGTTACAGATTTACAACTTCAAGAAAGAAATATTTGTATCTACAGTACACAAAATTAAGGTAAATCAGTTGGACCCGATGATACCGCTGGATAAATGTGAATCGAACTAGGATAGACAGGAACAAATTACATAACGAGTTTATTTAATACAATAAGTTGAATAACGTAATGGAGATGTTCAATAATGTATAAACCAATAAATTATAATAAAATTGTAAATATACAATATTAATATCGTACGGATTTTGCCGGTGAGATCCTTTCGGATTGTTCCGATCCCATGTGCATCTTTAAATATGTTTCAGTTAACTACTATCGACTAGCTCAGGGGGATCTGATTGAATATGGTAAAAATACATGCCAGTATTATCTCTATGCCAGTATTGTTAGAAGGTAGAGCTTCAAAAACTAGGTATTTTAAGTATTATAACACAAAAATGAAAAGTTTTTTGATGTGTCATTATTGCATCTAGTGAATGATAATTTAAAAAATATAGTTTTTCTTGCAAAAATTTAATTTTTTGTCTTCTTGTGCTACTCCAATCAGAGATTGTAAATCATCAAGACTATCATGATCTTATTTAAAGCTGATCTAAAGAGCTGGACAAGAAAATGTGCAAACCAATGACTTGATAAAGTATAGATATATTGATTAAAATGATGTGGTAGCGGGTAGGTACTCTTTCACAATCCCAGTGGAGGATAGACTTACTTCAGGGATGCGATCCTGCCCTACGCGAGCCTTGATTCTCTCTCAAATCCTGTGGAGAGAAATCATGTCCTAACCCCATTCCTCCCCAATACCTACTATCCTGCCAATTTCCCAAACCAACTCACCAACCCGCCTGGCAAGCGTGGTGTTTAAATGCCAAAACCCCCTCAACATGAACAGACATTCAAGAAAACGGCCCTCAGTCCCCGGCAGCTCGCTAGTTCCCGACCAAGGTAGCGGTATTACTCACGGACAGCGGGTAGAGGGTGCGAAGAATCCCCGGGATGTAAGAGGCTACCAAGAACGACGAACGTTGCACATAATTATGTATAATGTAAGAACCTTATCTAAGGATGAAAAAATGACAGAACTGGTGGAAGAACTCAAACATGTGAAATGGGATATTATAGGAATTAGCGAAGTCAAAGGATATTATAGGAATTAGCGAAGTCAAAAGAAGAGGTGAAGATCAGGTCAAACTAAAATCGGGAAACATATTTTACTATAAAGGGGAAACGGAATCGACAACTGGAGAAATAGGTTTATTAGTACACAAAAAATTACAGAAAAATATACAGAGCATTGACTGCGTTTCCCCAAGAGTTATGTATATAAATCTAAGACTAAATAAGAGATAAAATCTGAAAATAATCCAGGTATACGCCCCCCACCAGCGATTACGAAGATGAAATTGTCGAAGCCTTCTATGAGGAAATGGAAAGAACAAAAAAGCAGGAACCGGCTCATTACAATCTGATAATAGGAGATTTTAACGGGAAACTCGGAAGGAAAAAGGGCGAACAAGAAGTGGCAATCGGAAATTTTGGAATCGGAGTAAGAAACGAAAGAGGCGAAATGCTTACCAACTTTCTAATGCAACGCTAACTGTATGCAATGAACACCTTTATTAAGAAGAAACAGCATAGAAAATGGACGTGGGCTAGTCCAGACGGAAGAACTAAGAGCGAATATGATTATATAATAACAGACAAAAAGCAAATTATTCAAGATGTCACTGTACTCAATAAACTATCAGTAGGAAGTGACCACAGACCAGTAAGAGCTAGAGTAACGATAAATCTACAAAAAGAAAGAGCAAAGATAAACAGTTGCAAACGCATAATTTGGAATTCACCAAATCATCCAGAAGCATACATAAAAAATATAGCTGAAACTTTACAGAGTAATAATCCCAAACCTGTAAGTATCGACGATCACAATAAATTAATAACAGACTAGGTTAGAAACGCACAACTCAAATTTTGCAAGAAAAATGACACCAAAAGTGAAAAGATTAGAAAAGATACAAAAGCTCTCATGGAAATGCAACAAAACCTAAGCGAGAACGAAAAGGGAACCAAGAAGAATATAAAAAACTAAATAAAAGAATTTCAGCGGAAATTAGAAAAGATGTAAGAAGATATAATACTAATGTAATTACTCAAACAGTAGAAGAGAACAAAGGTTTAAAGATAATGAAAATAAAACTCACACAAAGTAAAAAAAAATATACAAGCTGAGAGATAAAGGCGGAAAGGCAACAACAGATAAAGAAAACATTCTGAAAATAACCAGAGAGTTTTATAACGACCTCTATACCAGCCAAAGACCACAAGACAATTTCCCGACACAAGTAAAGACTCTCATCAATCAGGGATCGGAAATACTTTTACCCATTACTGTGTCAGAAGTAAGAGCAACTTTAAAGGAAATGAAGAACCATCGATCGCCTGGTGACGATGGACTCGTTATCGAGGCAGTAAAAGCAGGAGAAATTTTATTAAAATCAATAAGCGAACTGTTTAATAAATGCTTACATGCGGGGACGATTCCAAAAGACTGGATCAATGCAGTAATAGTCTTGTTACACAAAAAAGGCGATGTTACTAAATTAGAAAATTATAGACCCATCAGCCTCTTGACACATATGTACAAACTCTTTATCAAAAATCTTAACAAAGAGGCTAACACCTAAACTTGATTTCTATCAGCCCAAAGAACAGGCAGGCTTCAGGGTAGGATATGGCATAAATGTCCATTTGCATACCATAAAGATCTTTGCACTCTAAAAGTGCATCGAGTACAACATACCACTGGTTCTGATTACGAGAAGGCTATTGATTCTGTAGAGTTTGAAACAATACTGGAAGCCGTAATTCAAAACCGAATAGATTACAGGTACATGACACTAATCAAAAACATCTACCAGAACACTACATCAACTATACAACTACACCAAGACACAGAAATATTCAGCTTAGGTCGGGGAGTCAGACAAGGAGATAATATTTCACCAAAATTGTTCACGGCAGCTCTAGAGTCAATATTTAAGAGTACTCAATGGCAAGATATGGACATCAATATAGATGGAGAAAGATTAAATCACCTAAGGTTTGCAGATGATGTTGTATTAATCGCAGATAACTTACATGATACAGTTTCTATGATGCATTCTCTTAAAAGTCTGTCTGCAGGATGAAAGATAAACTTTGTGAAAACTAAACTTATAACAAATCTCGTAATGAGTGGAAATATAACTATTGACAATAACACCATACAACAAACAGACACTTACAAATATCTGGGACACGAAATCAAAATAAGCAGAGACAATCAAACACATGAAATACAGAGACCAATAGGCCTAACATGGGCAGCATTTGGCAAATTAAGCCATATTCTAAAAAGTTCAATTCCCATGTGTCTCAAGCGAAAGGTTTATAACCAATGTGTTTTGCCTGTACAAACTTATGGAGCAGAGACTTTAACACTCACGCAAAAATCTGTGAATAAACTCAGAGTTACATAACGAGCCATGGAATGTACAATGCTGAACGTGAGCCTTCGAGACCACATAACAAACCAACAAATCAGGCAAAGATCAGGAGTTCTACACGTCATCAAAAGAACCACGATGCTTAAGTGGAACTGGGCAGGGCACTTAGCCAGAACACAAGATGGACGGTGGACAAGATGTATTATGGAATGGAGGCTGAGAAACTATAAAAGAAGCCGAGGACGACCACCGACTAGATGGACCGATGATATAAAACGTGTAGCGGAAACTGGCTACAAGCGGCCCAGTGTAGAGAACACTGGAAAGAACTGAGGCAGGCCTATGGCAGCAGTGGATGCGATTGGCTGATTGATGATGAAAGAACTGGACAAGAAAATGTGCAAACCAATGACTTGATAAAGTATAAATATACTGATTAAAATGATAGGCTTATATGATTTAGCCATTCAAAGTTAACAAAATTTTGCTTAATATAGAGTAATATACTACTATTAACTTTTAATCAAATATGAAATATATAGAAACATACGATTGCCATTTTTTTTTCAAAATAGACTCCCCAATTAAAAAGATATTGTCCAATTGTAGTAATGACAAAGATGATAATGATAACTTCCATTATTCCCATTTTGCGAACATATCTATAGTAAAAAATACCAGATTTCCAATTTGGCAAGCCATTCATAAGAACATCGTTATAATATTTTCTCTTGGTAGAACTCCTTAAGACTTCATAAACAGTCACTAAGTTACGAAATTGTTCAGAGGAATCCTTTTCCTTATTTTTGTCTGGATGTAATTTAAGAGAAAGCATTCGAAATGCGGATTTAATTTCATGATTTTCGGCATCCTAAAATAAGATATATAGGAATACTATAAGTACATTAATATTATAAATATTACCTTTGAAACATTTAGAATATCATAGAAGTTTTGTTTTACTTCTTCTATTGCATCAAAAACTTCCAACTGTTCTGTATCCCAAGCATTTACAGACACAATTACATATACTTGAAATAAAATATAACATATCATTATGTCAAATATTATTCAACAATAAAGTCACAAAAATTAGATGTGGTCAACCAATTGGTCAACCATCCTTGGATGTTGTGTAGTTGACAAAATTTTGTTAATGACATTGACATAGCATGGCAGGTTATCTGTCAGCAGTGTCAGGTTGATACCAACAATAAATATCCTGCAGGCAATAGTTTATGTAAAATCCTGTTTCTTCATTTTTTTTTAAATAATTTTAATAGAAAAATCTTACTTTCTAAGCTATCTGTAAAATTATTGTAGGTTTCATTTTCCGATTTCTGACAAACTTTTAAACAGTTTGACCAATCTCTTTGAAATTTTAATCAAATTTATTAAAAATCCTTTGTAAAAGGTATATATTTACCTTACAAGTAAATACTTTAGGTACAAGTACCTTACTTTAGGTACAAGTATAAAGGTACTTAATATATACCTTTTACAAAGGATTTTTAATAAATTTTTTAATATATGGTATACAGCCAACTACAGGAACGTAGATTCCTTGTAGATTTTTAATCAAATTATGTTAAGCACTACAAGAAAGTACGCGCATTTCGTTCTGGCAGACTTTAGAGGAGCAGACGAAAATAGCCATGTTTTAAACGGAACCAGTGCTGTTCGTGAAATGTTTCTGTTGTGCATAGAAAAATTAACCCGGTTTAATTTATTTACGGCAACCATAGACATATTGTACTATTTTATTCCTACTTTTGGTTGAAAAATAGATTAAATTATTTCAAATTTACTAAATTATTAATCTCTTAATATTTAAATTATAGTTTTGACGTAGCTTGTCACAAAGTTCTCAATTCGAGTCTATCTTTCCGTTTAAAATATGGCCATCGCGTGCTGTCACACTTCAAAGGCGGCATCTGAGGTTGGGCATTCTGATTGTTATGTATTCTGTGGCCCAACATTCCGTGTAATATGAAGGGGTAAAGTTCATATTTTAAAAAGTTATTGATATTTATAAAAACCGAATTTCTGACTTAATTCTGAGCAACAAATAAGGATAAAAACCATCGAGTTAAAACTAGATGATAAAAACATTCAAAAACGCCATTTTGAAGGTGTTTATTACTCTTAAATTTGTTTTAAATGCATCAACTTTTGCTGATACACGAAAAAAGTAAAAATTTACGGTTTTGTCCTTAATTTGTTAATAACTAAGTTCAAAAAAGCGACTGCAAGAAATATATAGGTTTTTGTTAGAGAGGTCATAGCACAAAATAAATTATAAATTGTTTTATTATTCTGTGTCCATACTATTCAAATCAATGTCGTTTGCCTGACCGGATCAGTTCACGAAGCAATCTCACTTCCATATATATATTTGATGACAATGTTTTAAGTGCTCCCATTTAGTTTGTTAGGCGGGATTGTACAGTGTGTTGCATAAACTTGAACTAATTTGACAAATAAAAAACTAAAATTAAAAGTCGTAGCAATTCAAAACAATATATTCAAGTTAGTAACAAAATAAACTTTAAAAGTTCGTATTTACTCCACATTATCGAAATATTAAAATGAGAGAAATTGTTCATATACAAGCTGGTCAATGTGGAAATCAAATAGGGGCAAAAGTAAATATATTTTTAATTACTTATTTTTAATTTTTTTTAATTAGTTTCTTTTTAGTTCTGGGAAGTTATTTCGGACGAGCATGGAATCGACCCCACTGGGACTTATCATGGAGATTCTGATCTTCAGTTAGAACGTATAAATGTATATTATAATGAGGCAACGGGAGGAAAATATGTACCAAGGGCAGTACTAGTTGACTTAGAACCAGGGACTATGGATTCAGTGAGATCCGGACCTTTTGGTCAAATTTTCAGACCAGATAATTTTGTTTTTGGCCAAAGTGGAGCAGGGAATAATTGGGCAAAAGGTCATTATACTGAGGGAGCTGAATTAGTTGATTCCGTTTTAGATGTTGTGAGAAAAGAAGCAGAAGGTTGTGACTGTATGCAAGGATTTCAGTTAACACATTCTTTGGGAGGTGGTACTGGTTCCGGACTGGGTACTTTATTAATATCAAAAATAAGAGAAGAATATCCCGATCGAATTATGAACACTTTTTCAGTAGTTCCTTCACCCAAAGTATCAGATACAGTTGTAGAACCGTATAACGCTACTTTATCAGTACATCAACTTGTAGAAAACACAGATGAAACTTATTGTATTGATAATGAGGCGCTTTATGATATATGCTTTAGAACGTTAAAACTTACAACTCCTACTTATGGTGATTTAAATCATTTAGTCTCATCTACAATGTCAGGCGTTACAACTTGTCTACGGTTCCCTGGTCAACTAAACTCAGATTTAAGAAAACTAGCTGTAAATATGGTTCCTTTTCCTCGCCTTCATTTTTTTATGCCTGGTTTTGCCCCATTAACCTCGCGAGGTAGTCAACAATACAGGGCTTTAACAGTTCCAGAATTGGTTTTGCAAATGTTTGATGCAAAAAATATGATGGCAGCTTGCGATCCTCGACATGGAAGGTATTTAACTGTAGCTGCTATTTTCAGAGGTAGAATGTCGATGAAAGAAGTTGATGAGCAGATGCTTAACATACAAAATAAAAACAGTAGCTATTTTGTAGAATGGATACCCAATAATGTGAAAACGGCAGTTTGCGATATTCCTCCCCGAGGGCTGAAAATGTCATCTACATTTATAGGGAACTCCACATGTATTCAAGAACTTTTTAAAAGAATTTCTGAACAATTTACTGCCATGTTTAGAAGAAAAGCATTTTTGCATTGGTACACAGGTGAAGGAATGGATGAAATGGAATTTACAGAAGCTGAAAGTAATATGAATGATTTAGTGTCAGAGTATCAACAATATCAAGACGCAACAGCAGAGGAAGAAGGTGAATTCGAAGAAGAAGAAGAGGGAGATGAGGGAGAGAACTAAATTTTACATTGTGTCCCTAAATAAATATTAACAATGTCTGCTGATAATTTGTATCATGACAATAAACAGGTTAACAAAATATTCTAAAAGAATACAAATGTGTTTTTATATTTCAAATCCTATACAGTTTGTACTGAACATTTTTTAAAACTAGGTACCGTTAGGTAGGACTGGTATCATCTATTAAATTTTACAGTCGCACCTTAAGTGTCTGCTTCACAGAGATTAAGCAAATCCATAGACATATAATACAAGATAGACTAATCGTTGCAATACCTGCCCCTTCCCCCAATGCGACAGAAGCCTGACGCAAAGCAGTCCCTGCACATTTTTCTAATTTGCCAGGTTTATCGACCACGTGAACTAAAAACTAATGAGAAGGTCACGTGGTCGATAAACCCGGCCCATGACAGAGATTCGGGGACTGTTTTGCGTCAGTTTTCTCTGTCGCACTGAGCGAACGCGACTGTATTGCAGCAGTCAGTCTATCTTGCATTATATGTCTATGAGCAAATCTTGTCTGACCTAACTTAACTTTTTCTTTTCATTACTAGGAAGTTTGCAGCCAGACACCTGGTAGTGTTGGGTTCCTAAAGCAAATTGAGATCTGGCTGAAAAGTTTAGCCCTATGCTGACCTCACTGTATTTCGTGTTCTGAGACGGCCGAGATCACCTAAACTCTACCTCTCTCACTTCAAGCAACGAGACCGGAGGGTCCTTCATCGTCTCGTTGCCCACTTCTGTCGCTAGATTTCCACTATACACTCGATAGTCAGCCATCTCGATATCCTTTCACCCCCGTTCTCTTCAGATTCTCGTTCACACATCACAACTTCCAATGGCCTCCAGCAACTTTGCTCTCCTTCAGTCATTACTCTCACTCGTCGCGTCGCCCTAAAAGCATTCGGCGTATTCAGCTCTCCTGAACCTGTGAAAGCAAGCCCGGAAGCAACCGTGGCCTGAACGCACCTTCTTCAGATAATACTCTACACACCTGTGCTCACAGTTCCCACAGCTTCTCAGGACTTCGCCCACCGCAGCACCTTCAATGTTGCGTCCCATTTAGCTTGCCACATGACTCTCGTCACGCCTTCTATTTACTTTAATGTTCCGATTTTTACGTCGGAACATTCGTTCACCAGATTTCTACCGCCTCACATCAGAGCGGAACCGCGTAAAAACTGCACAACACGATAGTAAGCCCGTTTCCTTTGGAATTTGTGTTCCCCCTATGTTTGGCATTATACTCCTTAGCGCAGCCACTCTACACAGTATTCGCCACAGCTTCCATTCCTATGCAAAATCACCTGTAGTATTTTACTGTTTCCTTGGGAGCAGCCCTCACATCTGCGCAGTCAAAAGATATTCTTTCTCTTTTTCAGTGTCCTCTGAGCACTACAGCCACGGTTTTATCCGCAGCTAGTTCCATCATGTTCATTCATCCACTCCTGAATAAATCGTCGCGTCGCGCCTGCACCAGCATATCGAGATCATCCGCAAATACGAAGGGGGTAATACCGTCTACACATTTACGGTTCATAACCATGTCACACGTCATATTCCACAGCATCGGACCAAAGACGACCACTGAGGTAAACCAGCCGTTAGATTTACAACCACACCCTTTTCAACCAAAATATCTCTTTCGGAGAGATAATCCGAGACAATATTGCTCAGATACTTAAGACATTACCTTCTTTTTAAAGCGCTCATTACATAGCTCCGCTGCAATGTATTCAAAGAGTTTTCGACCTCAAAGAGAATCAAGGGAGCTACGTGTGACCGCAACATTTCCTCTATGTAACCCTCACTGACTCCCGAAACACCTCTGCCCGTGCAGAAACCATATATTGTCTGTGGGATAAAACCCCAGACCTCTTAATCACCTTCTCGATTCTATCAAGCAATATTCCCTCGTACAGTTGACAAGCTCCAAAGAAGGCAAATCTGCCCTGTCTCTTTTGGTATTATAATTAGCCTTGAAGTCTTCCACGACTCCGGAAATACCTGTGCATAAAGCAAAGCGTTCATGTGATCTAAAAGCCACTTACCTTAACAAAAACTTTCTTTTCGTTCACAAAAAATGACACTTTTCAACTATTTAAAATAATATACGAATGAATAAAAGCAACTCATATTTTCATAAAGATACTTAATTATTATACAGGGCAACGTAACAAAACTAAGTAACTAAAAGGAGAAACCTATGGAATTTCACGTGTCCGGTTACTTTTGCGGGTCAGTGTAATTTTCTTCTTCTAGTTCCATGACCGTTATCGATCGTTGGATATCATGTTGGCTACCATATTCGCTATCGTGACTTTATTGACAGCAGCTCTAAATAACGATGTAGTTGATTTTCCATACCATTGCCTTAGATTTTTCAGCCATGATGTTCTTTTTCTACCAGGACCACGATTACCTTGGATATTTTTATATTTTTCAGGGTGTCTCATAATATGACCGAAGTATTGCAGCTTGCGTTTCTTTATTATATTGATCAGTTGTGTTGTTTGGTTCAGCCGTCTAAGGACCTCCTCATTTCTAACTCTGTCGACCCAGCTTATTTTCAGTAGTCGTCTGTATACCCACATCTCAAAGGCTGTCAAGCGTTTAAGCATAGCCTCAGTTAGGGTCCACGCTTCTACTCCATACAGCAGGACAGGAAAGATGTAGCAAGATATCATACGAACTCTAAGGTCAATGCTAAGATCATGACTGCAAAGTACGTTTCTCATTTTTACAAAGGCAGCTCGGGCTTGTTCTATTCGGCTTTTAATTTCTGCGGTTGGATCCCAGCTCTCATTGATATTACTGCCGAGATACACGAGTTTCTCTACTCTGTCCAGTGTGGCATCTCCGACTTTTATACCGTCATCATGTATATAATTTTGTTTGCTAACTATCATATATTTAGTTTTCTTAACGTTGAGTTTTAGTCCATACTGATCACAAGTCTGTTTTATTTTGTTCATTAGATTTTGAAGGTCTTCTCCGCAATTGGCAAGGACTAAGGTATCGTCGGCATATCTAATATTGTTGACGGTTACTCCATTCACAATAATACCTTCGGTTGTCTCCATTAAGGCTTCTTAAATATTTCCTCCGAATATAAGTTAAAAAGTAAAGGCGACAATATACAGCCTTGTCTCACTCCTCTTTTTATATTTATTTCATCCGACAGTTCTTGTCCAACCTTTATTCTTGCCACTTGATGCCAGTATAGATTTGTAATTATTCGTAGATCTTTATCGTCCAATCCAGCTGTTTCCAATATTTCTAGAATTTTTTTATGTCGGACTTTGTCAAAAGTGTAATTTTACTCTCTACATTTTAATACAAAAGTATTTTAGCATTGGGCCTAAATAATAAATAATTAGCCTAGTTTTATTTTCATCAATAAATTCACGAAAGTATAACTGATGTTAGTAACGGAATAAGAGTAATCTGTAATAAAGTCCTGGTAGTTAAGATTATCTTAATTATTATCGACAATTTGAGCCAGGTTTACCACTCTCTCATCTTAGTAATAAATAATACCATTTATCTTAGTTAAAATGTAGCTTATTTTCCATTTAAAATAACACAATCACCCCATATTTTCAAGTTTAATCTTCTTCTTTAGGTACCATCTCCTCTAAGGAGGTTGGTAATCATCACAGCTATTTTCACTTTTGAGATTGCAGCTCTGAACAAGTCGACGGAACTACAATTATACCACTATCTCAGATTGTTGGGCCAGGAGATGCGTCTTCTTCCAATACTTTGTTTTCCCTGCATTATGGTTTGTAGCAACACATATTTATCCTCTCTCATAACGTGACCGAGATACTGTAACTTTCTTATCTTAATCGTATTCATGATTTCCATTTCCTTTGTCATCTTTCGGAGGACCTTAACATTTGCTATTCGGTCTACCCAACTTTCTTCGGTAGGTCCACATCTTGAATGCTTCAAGTCGATCGCTCACCTCTTTCTTTAAGGTCGAGGCCTCCACCCCATACAGCAGCACCGAAAACACATAAGAACGTAATATTCTAATTTTGAGTTGCAAACTAAGGTCTCTACTGCATAATACTTTTCTAATCTTATTAAATTATGCTCTAGCTTGTCCAATTCTCATTTTTATTGCTTCTGTATACTCGTTATTTTCATTAATAATTGTACCAAGATATCTATTTTTTTACTTTTTCTATTAGAACTCCTCTTATGTTTAAAATGTCTTGTTGTGTTTTGGAAATTGTCATAAATTTTGTTTTATTAGCATTAATCCGCTTTCCTCACTAGCATTTACTACATTATCTAAAAGTGTTTGTAGATCTTGAATATTGTCTGCAATTAGTAAAGTATCATCGGCATATCTGATATTGTTGATGGGTCTGTCTGCCGTTGACTTTTATTCCAATTGTTACATTTTCGAGTGATTTTTTAATTATTTCTTCCGAAAATAGATTGAACAATAAGGGGGAGAGGATGCAACCTTGCCTTACGCCCCTTTTTATCTCTACTTCCTCCGAAAGTTCTTTGTCGACTTTTGCTGTTTGGTTAAAGTAGAGATGAGTTATTATTCTTAAGTCTCTTTTGTCAATGTGTTTATCTTTAAGTAACTGTATAAGACAGTTGTGTCGGACCTTATCGAACGCCTTATTGTAATCAATACAACTAACATAGAGTGGTTGGTTTACATCTATACATCTTTTCATGAGGACGTTAAATCCAAATAATGCCTCTAGTGTACCCATGGCATTCCTAAATACAAATTGGGTTTCAGTGATGTCTTGTTCCACTTTTCTGAAAATTCTTAAATGGATAATTTTTAAGAATATTTTTAGTGTGTGACTCATTAGACTAATTATACGGTGGTCATTACATTTCTTTGCATTAGGTTTTTTTTGGTAATGTAATAAATATTAATTTGAGCCAATCTCTCGGAATAATACCCGTATTATATATAGTATTGTTACGAACATGCATTCGGCATGCCCCATGTAACGGTTGCATCTCTAAATGGCTTCATCTCGGGCTTCCAGAACCTTCGCGATGTATGAGCGCCATTTGTCAAACAACGAATTAGAGGTGAGACTACCCCAGAAGATTCGAGAATAACACTTTTTGGTATATATATGTAACGATGTTATGAGTTAGTTTAGTTGATAAGATAGTACCGAACTGTAAAGTTATAAATAAATATATTTATATAAATTCGAACCGATCGTTTTATTTAATCTCGCTACAGTTGGTGTCAGGTGTGAGGTTTGAAAATAAACTCAGCAGTGACTTTTGAAAAGTATTGTTCGTCGGGAACATCCGCGTAGTTCGCTAGTGACCTTTGTACGAAAGAATATTTAAAAAAAAGTACGTGTGTGCCTGTACAAAGATGCTGCTAGTACAACTCTCAGTAAAACAGTTGGGTGAGCAACTAGAAGAACGCGATGAAGACTGCAGCGGGTCCAAGAAGATCCTCCAAGAACGACTGAAGAATGTTCTTAACAAGAATGGAGATGACCCAGAGACATTTCATTTTCAATCAGCAGAAGAAGCAGTTTTAATGACGATCGAAGAGAGTTCCAGAAAAAATGATAAATTTGAAAATATCTCGCAAATGATAGAAGAATCTTCTAAAAAAAATGATGATAAATTAGAGAACGTTTCAAAAAGATTTGATGAATCATTTGAAAATGTATGTAGAAGATTCGACGAGACTTCACAAATTATTAAAGTAGCTAGACAAAATGATGAGAAATTCGAAAATGTGTCTAGAAGATTCGACGAGACTTCTCAAATAATTAAAGAATTACGTAATCAAAACAATGAGAAATTTGAAGAAGTCTCAAGAACATTCGATAACATACAGAAAAATGTAAACAACATAGAAGATAAGATCAAACAATTAGAGACCATGATAACTAACACGAAAGTGCTACCACCAATTAACAAGAAAAGGCTGTTTCCTTGACTGCTACATTACGAGGTGATGCTGCAGATATCCTAAGATCGATTCCTAAGGATCAAGAAAAATGTTACCAGACCTTGTTCACTCGACTAGATAAACGTTACGGAGATACCGACTTACAACAAGTCTACAAGGCGCAAGTAAGAAGTAGAATTCAACGAGCAAGTGAAAATTTGCAAGAGTTTAAAGCAGATGTTGTTCGTATAGTGCGGTTGGCTTATCCAGAGGTATCAGACAACATTTTGGAAGAAATTGCTGTAGATACCTTCGTCAATGGGTTAAAAGAAAGCGAATTACAGAAAGCTTACGACTGCAAGACCGAAAGTTCTAGATGAAGCGCTCGCTATTGCTTTGGAACATGAAACAGCTAGTCAAACTTCACGGAGCCATCGAGTAATAACCATTGAAGAAGGCGACGAGCCAAACGATGAACATCTATAAGAAATGGTACGAAAAGTAGTTCGTAACACGATGCCGAAGAGACGCGAGCCCAGATGTTGGAATTGTGGTGACGTAGGTCACATTCGCCGTAATTGCAAGAAAATGATTAATTAGTTCTTATTAAAATTAAATAGTAAATGCTTAATTAGTTCCAAATGTCTGGATACTGTAAATCAATGCGCTAGCCCACTCACAGTAAAATGAGTGGCCTGCGCCGCTTGTTATCAGAACGACCTATTAAACATTTTAAGAAGGTTAAACTGTACAATATTGATCTCATTTCTACAATAGTGTTTTGATATATCAAAACTTACGTAGTGTATTTGATCGGTCTATTCTAATGCATTGTAGATAATATTGAAATATTATATTTTACGCCTCTAATTTTCTAAATTCAGAATTTATGGCGTCAAACATAGAAGGTTGGACATTCTACGTATATTACTTCACTTATTGAAAACAGTTTAGAGAAAAATAAATTTATTTACAAGAAATTTGTACAAATACGTCTGCTTAAACGAAAAATTAATGAGAAAAATTAAAATACGGAACGTTAATCAATATAACTATCTATTTACACTGTTTCACCTTCTTCTATCCTTGGATCTAGTCTCTACCTTTTCATCGTCTCGATGTTTGGATTTTTTATATTTGTCTCTATCGTCCCTAGATGAATACTTGTCATCTCGATCCCTATATTTATCATCTCTATCGTATCTATCCTTTCTATCTTTCTTATCATCATATTTTTCCTTTTCAGAGTACCTGTCTCGATCATCATCCCTATGTCTGTCTTTGTCGTATTTATCATCTCTATAAATGTAACGATCGTTCTTTGAATCCCTATCATTGCTTGGTGATCTTGAGGACCTATGTTTTGATCTAAAAATAAAACAAAAGGTATGTTTAGATTAATTATGAACCCATGTAAGTTATGTTGATGATATATGATAAGTGATAACTAACGAATATAACAAAATCCATCTATTTAGTCTCACAGGCTATTATTATCTTATACGTTTGTGAAAAATTGGTCTTGTGAAAAATTTTTGGACGCGAATGTAAAATACATGAAACAAAAATGACTGGATAGAGACACTGATAACGACTAAGATGTATGATGATTAATTTTGAGTTTTGAGAATAGAACAATAAGAGAAACATTCTGAAATGGCTGCTCTGGTGAATGTATAAATCACATAACAAAATACAAATATTACGATTTATAAGAAATACTGAGTGCATTACTACTAAAATAAATTCCGCAAACTTACCTTTTCTTTGATTTGATTGGTGGCGTTGTACTTCTAGACCTTGAGTAACTTTTCCTCTTGTGAGTTTTCTTATGGTTTCTGACTGGAGATCGACTCCTTGATCTGTGTTTCTTTGCTCTTTTTCTATGTCTATTTTCAGGAGATTGCGTAGCTGACCTCGATCGTGATCTTGAATGTTTATCATTAGTGGTAGGAACAACGTGACTTCCAGACCGACTAAAACAAAATTCAGGATTAAAGTTGTGTTGGCGTGCAAAATGCCACGTATCTTTGTTAAAAAAAAAATTTAAATCAATAATCAATCGTGATTTCCAGAAAACTATTTTTAAGAATTGGATCTCGACTGATCAAAAGATTAAAAATAGTAAAAAAAAGAGTTTAGTATTATATATAATGTAATAAAATATACCTTATAAAACCTCCCCAAGCATTATGAGCTCCTGTAACTTTATCTTGACTTGGACTAGTGTTGTTTGGAGTATCATTGCCTGAACCTCTTGCCTTTGCTCTTGCAGCTTTATATTTTTCACACAGTTCTTCAACTTGTTTCTCTAATTCATCAATGTTAGGCTGCAAAATAAACTATTTTTTAAACACTGAAAGTATTTTCGAATGCAAAATTATGGAAATAGGAATATGGAATAACCAAAAATTTTAAATTAAAAATGAGATATTTAAATAAATATTTATAAGATATGAAGACAAACATTTTATTTGTAAACTAAATAAAAGGAGAATGTCACGTTGCTGGAATATTAATGTATTCATTAAGTATATTAAACAAACCTTTGGTCTTGTATATAACTTCAATATCCTAAGGCTAATATCACGAATTTCTTCTTCAGTCGCGCCGAAAATGGAAAACCATGATGGATTCTTCGGCAGAGGTAGCTTTAATTTTCTTGCAGTCAAGTATATACATGCGCAGGCAACAGTCTCTGGTTGATGTCGGACAAAGATGTCAGTTCTTAATGAATCATTCATGTAGTTCCATGAGTACTGCATTAACTTTTGGTGATTGTAGTATCCGAGTACTTGAAGATACATTACGATGATCTGAAAGACATAAAATATATTTTAATGAGGATACATAAATGAGTGACACAATCTGGTGACAGATTGCATTAAAGGTAACAAATAGGAAGTACAGAAGGCAATTGGGGACTTGATACGTTTATAGACATTATCATCGTGTATTATTACCGATCTATTTCATTTAAGTGCTTTTTTTTTTTTAACTCACGAAGTCAAAGAGTTGGCGGGAGTGATGTAAATTATGATTTGTTTTCAATTAATACTTAATACTATTCAAATATTTTGGATTAAGAGGATGGACATGGGGAGATTCCAATGAAAAATTGGAAAAATTTCGAACACCAAAGTGAGTTTTTGTATATGATGCAGAACATCATTGTCGGTCGAATTTATTGAGTTTTGTGTGGACTCAATCAGAACGTTTATCCCGTTTTTAACTTGTTCAGTGAGTGTTCGTTCAGTGAACGTCGCGTTTAATCCTCATCGAAAAACATTAAATAATAACGTGGCAATCGATTACGTGACAACCGAACGTTGTATGTCCACACTGCACGTCATTTACGCTGAAAGGTCAACCTCCTGGATTGTGTTGCGCCGGTGGCACAAAACAATCAAATTGATACGTCAAATCGACGTCATATATTGTGTTTGGGAAAGTATGTACGAATTCTTTTTATATTTTTACATTTAATATTTTTCTGTTACGGTACTGTAATGTGATCTAATTTAATGCTATATTCTAACGACCTTTTTAAAATATATTATTTCCTGTTATACACACAAGTGTAAGGTTTTGTATTACCGTGTCAATTAACTTGAAATTATCGCCATTCAAAATCGTCCGACAATAGGGTTGATTTATGACATGCTCTGACACACGAGCTGTTGACCACCCAGAGGGTGGTTTTTGCCCTAGTAACGATCTCAAGATTCTCAAGATAGGCACTTCTTCGTAAGACAGTAAACGAAACACTCCATATACCGGTCTCGTGTTATTAGCCTCGGCGTCCCAGGCCGCGGCGTCGTGATGCCCAGCGACCAACTCTTCAGCCTGTTACGAATACCTCAATAGAACCAAAGGGTAAGTCTATAAATCTTTGTACAAACAACAATAATGAGTAAAACCAGTCAATTTCATAATTTATTCACAATTTACAGTTGCTATTTTTCGCTACTTTTATGTACAAACAATATTGCAATTTTCTTTATAATTATTTATCCAATATCATTTAACCAGCGACCTCGTAAGTTTTATCCTAAACATATTGTTTTCGTTAACGGGCCAGATTCTATTCATTTTTGACTCATAGCTAAGACAGGGCAACGTCTTTCGGGTCAGCTACTAAATAATAAATTAAGAGTTAACTCAAACTCAAAAAAGTATACGAGTCAATCCTGGAGCAAGGACTCATTACATAGATTTTCTGTCTTGACTTTCCCAATACACTACTACAAATAATCCATTATTCTCTTTGTAAAAATACACAATAATTTTAATTCGCATGGAAAACAAAATTGTGAAGTTTTGTTTTCCATTCGAAACTTCATAAAATCATAAATTAACAAATAGTTTGTAAATTTCGACATTGTTTTGACTGCCTAGGTATTTTTCTTGAAACTCGCCGCCTATTATGTCCACCAGGAAGGTGAAATTAGCTTTGAATACAAAAAAATTAGATCGACTTCACATTTCATCTTGCCAGAAGTTTAAATGAAGTAATATAAACTTCAGGACATTTATTGAACATGTCAACATTAATCGTTTCGCAAAATTTAACCTCCTAGATGTACAGGGTGGTCGAAAGCTGTGGTATAAAAAATTTCCACACAATTGAATAAGCAACTTTTCATAATTCTTAATGTAAACATTTATCTTGTTGATATTGAGAAATTTTTAATTCGCGAATATTTTAGAAAAAATATATTATATATTTACCTTATGCGGATGTTTAATATGCACGCAGAATCCCAGTTCTTTGAGCACCCGCCTTTCTGCCTTGATGACTAAGTTCTTGAGATGGATATAGTTTTGATCCAAAATAACCGGCTGGATGGTCCTGCATCACAAACAAAAGACAACATTGAAGAGAAAATATATTTTAGAAACCATATCCTATAATTTCAAAATAAAAATATTGGAGTCAAATAAGTGTTCGAAGATTAAAAATTAATTAGATGGCATAAAATAAAAACTTTTAATACAGAATTCATAATATCAAGCAAAGGATAATAAACAATAATAACCAACTTTCCAGTTGTCTATTGTCTGTTTCAACATTATCTTCCAGTTCGTAATTAGTCTCCATAGCTGTAATATTTATTTTTTCGTTCTCTCCTTTGACAGATCTAATCTTGGCATCTATGCAAATAAAATAAACGAAAATTCAAATAAATAACCCTATCAAATAACTTCACAACCATCATAAATTAAAATAATTACAATGAAAATTAAGTAGACTTAAAATGTTGGACAATCACTTTCAATGAGAGTTACAAAATGGCATATTTACAAAATGGGAAGTGTAAATGTGAATTATATAAGTATCTACATCTGAAATTTACAGAAATGGTTAAGGAGCGCTGATGTAGTCAAGAGATCTACTTGCCTGATCATGCCCCTCCAACCTTGCTACTACTTCAGACACGCAACATGAACCAAGAATGAGAGACCTCAAATTACAGATTATAAAATTTGTAGAAAGTCAGATTCGAAACATAGCGTATGAACTGGAGAAAGATATGCTAGAACTGGGTAGTTATACGAGGTTTGAATTATTAGTTTTGCATATAGCTGCTTAGAGAGCGCCACTAATAAGACCTTACGACACAAATGTAACCTCAATCTTTTGTTAACATAAATCGAATTTCACTGCGATACAAGTAGTGTAGATAGAGTGAATTTTTGAAATTAGCCAGTCGGTCGAAAAATGGATCTTAGCCGAGAACATTTTCGAGCAATATAGATTTTTTTTTAATTTTCGGAGAGTATTATCCCAATAGAAATGTCTCGCTAAAATGGTTTCTATGTTTGGGAATGAAGCATCACACCATTCAACTATTTCCAGCTGGTATTGCGAATTTCAACGTGGTCGCTCCAGTCTCAGCGACGAATCCAGGCCAGGTCCACCCAACAGCAAGTCACACAGCAAAATATTTCTGCGGTTCGTCAGTTAATGAAGGATGACCGCCGTGTAACATACTGAGAGATAGAGGCATCTTTGGGCATTTCAAAGACCTCGATCAAAAAAATCCTATGTGAAGAACTGAGTGTTCCGAAGTTGGTTTCCCGTTGGACCCCTCATTTGCTCACAGAAGAGTAAAAAGCGGTTCGCTATGTCGAAAAATATTGGAATGGTTCAACAAAAGAAACCCAAAAAAACATTTATAGTATTGTTAGTGGCGATGAATCTTGGATTTACTCCTACGAACCGGAAAATAAACGCCAATCCGCTGCATGGGTGTTTCTTGATGAGGAAAATCAACAAAAGTGATCCATTAAATATACCAAAGAAAATTGTCGCAACATTTTTGTCAAATTCTTGTTATGTGACAACAATTGCTTTAGAAGATAGAAGAATGGTTATTTCTGATTATTATATAACCGTTTGTTTACCAGAAGATATAACAACACATAATGGCGAATCATCCTACACCAGGATAATGAAAGTGCTCACACTGCCCAAAATACAATAGAGTTTTTGAAGCTTCGAAACATGAATTGATAAATCATCCACCGGATAGCCCCGAAATAAGTCCCAACGACTTCTTCACGTTCCCAAGGATCAAGAATTCAATGCGTGGGAAGCGATTTCAGTCGCCAGAAGAAGCCATCGATGCCTTTAAAACAGCGATTCTGCAGGTGTAAACAGAAGACTGGAATAACTATTTTATCAATTGGTTTGAATGTATACAAAAGTTTATCGATCTGGTAGGGACTTATTTTGAAAAGCAATAAGCTAATTTCAAGTCTATATATGTTTTATCTTTATGGCTATATGTAAAACTAAAAGGACAACCCTCGTACTAAAAAAAATTTAAATTTTTAACCCAAGGAGCGAGCCTACACATTACCTTTTTATTTCGGCTGTTTTACCTTCTTTCAGCAAGGAAAACGAACTGGTTAAAAGTTTTCGGGAAGCGTTTGTGTAAGCACGTCTAGATTTAACATACGTTGATGCATAAATATCTCGTAAATAAAATGTAATTCTAATTTATACCAAATTTATGACAACTATTTGAAACTGGTTGTCAATGAATTAACATAAATTTTATTTGACTCCAATACTTCTTCAGTCACTTGAACTCAATATATTGATCAGGATATAATTTAATTGTGAAAACCAGCATATTTATTTTGTTAGCATAGAGTGTAAAGCTTGTACAACTTATTATAAAAGTCCATATTCGACTTTAATGCTTCTTAATCACAAATTCGAATTAAAACCGACCCGAGAAATGATTGGAAGTTCGACATTCGCTCACTGGCGTATCTATGAGTTTCGTTTCGTTGCCACAATGTTGCAACTACTCCGCTAAAATGGATATTTTTGAAATCCGCGAGACGAAACTATACTGGTGATGGTAATATATTCGATATCTTTGTTTATCGATTTTGATCATAGCTATTAATATTTTTCATTCTTGACTAACAACATTTCTCATATATATATATATATATATATATATATATATATATATATATATATATATATATATATATATATATATATTTTTATAATTTTTTTTATGATGCACTTATTTTTCGTTCATCTAATTTAAAGTAATAAAAAAAGTCAGTACCATATTAGAATGTCAGGTTTGATTTATGTTTCAAGATGACTTATAATTAATTTTTTTTCTATTCCTCACTGAATGCCGTCAGGCCTAATGTATTACCTTATTTTTTGTAAAAAAACTTATTTAGTTGCTCTTTATCTAATTTGGTAATATGGTAATACTTTATGCTTGACAAATTTATTTCACAAGAAAAATTCAAATTTTGCCTATTACATTAAAAAAGAAATTCTTGTGAAGCCTACAGGCGCGGCCATACAGGACGCGATCTGTCGCGGCTGACAGCGATCGTGCGATACAGTATCGTGCTAGTTTTGATAACTCTTTTATTATTTTTGTTGCAATATAGTGTACCTATAAATATGCACTATACAATGTTGTTATAATCATTATATTAATCAAATAATTATATTTTGTACCTTTACAAATAAATTATTTGTGTAAAATTAAAGCGATATTTATAATATTTAGTTATGCAGCGAAAAAGACTGACCCGCTACGTCCTTTGTGTGATGTGTGCTTATAGATAGTCCTTTGTGTGATGGGGATGATTCAATACTGTGTAATACAAGCAGATCGCCCGCCGGCCTCGCTCAGATATCGCTTCCCACGATAGAACATTACGAAAACGATATTTTGACTGATTTTAATATTCAATTTGTAGTTTATATGTTTGACCTAAGCATTATTAGTACGATAACTATTCTACAACTAATATTTTTAGGTTTCTGTTGATATTTGGTTTTTTCATCCTGTTGTTGGTATAACATTTTTACATAATACTAAATTATGACACTTGATAAGTGCTTGAGTAAGTTTGGCTATAGAGAGGGAAAAAAGATGACTAGATTTACGTCATGTTAACTTGAGCAGAAACTTGTAATAAAATTATATAGATGTCTTCTTATATCCCCTCCTCACACTAAAAAACTTTAATAATAAACAAATGTAACAATAATAAAAACTGGAAATTTAATATATAAATGCTATTGATTTGTTGACTATTTACGTGTTATTAGATTCATAGTTTTAACCGTTTAACTGATTTAATATAATAATTTGTTTTACATTATTTAAAATACGTTTATTATGACATTTCGAATTATTAGTAAAGTAATAAAAATAATTAACATTATTTTGAGAACAATTTTATTCCCAATAAAAACAGTAAATAATATTAAAGTGCCACAACAAAATTCAGAACAATATTGTTTAGAGAGTTTCAGAGTTTATTTTCAGAATTGCTGTTTATCAGATATCCTTACATACGTAGACATATATACATTCCCGCCATTAAAAAAAATAGCGGAAGAAAAAAGGAGAGCAAAGACTGTAAAAATGAAGAAATCTCAAAAGATATAGTTAAAAAGGAATATAAATGAAAACGTAAAAATACTTTTTAATTAAAAAGAAAAATAACATTTGACTTTGAGAATCCCTAACCATATACGAGTTCTAATCAAACTGTCAGAATACTCATTGAAGAAGAACAGAAGACTTATATGTCTAGGATATGAACAGCTGTTTGATGATAGTTAGATCCAGAGTGGAATTTGTAAATGTTGGTATGACGCTTGCTCCAGCTTAGATCATTCACGTTGTTTGCGACCATTACTAGACTCTTTCTGGCGTGTACTTTTAACCTACCACATATGTACCCTTAACCACCATGGAGGGCTCAAAAATATTCAAATTACACTTTTTTTTTTTAAATATGATAGTAAAATATTTTGATGGTAATTAACTAAACTTTGTCCTATACCTCAAATGAATAAAGAATGTTATTAAAAAATTTTGAATTTCTACCTCTTTTCTCTTGTGACATATCCCGAGATCAACTAGGTTAGTTCTGTTTTTAAGTTATTCTTTATAAAAAGTTGTGCATGGTCTAAAACCTAAGATGCAACCATCATATATCAAATTTTTTCGATCTTATATTAGTCTGGGAGCCAGGGAGGGGGAGGGGGTATGTTGAGTATTCACTTTTATGTCCCCTCGGTAACTTACTTTTTTATATTTTTTGGTGCGTAGATTCAATTTTTCGAGGCTGAAAACAGGCCAGATAATTTATTAATAATTTAATTGTTTAAATGATTGTATCTCCTAAACGATTAGAGATATTTAATTTATTTTACCAAAATGAAAATTATTCCTTTTGAAAAAATGAACAAAACGGCGTTTGGTAAACTTTAATTCGTTTGTTAAAACCCGAGTTATAACGAATTCCGTGACAAACAATTATAAAATAGGCATTCCATGGGGC